GAGGAGGAGGTGACTAGCGCCCCCAGAGCACGTGGCCATTGTTCGTACTCGAATTAGCTCCAGCTCTTTGCGCTTAATTCTCTTTAGGCACGATTTCGGCGTCGATAGTTGCCACTAATTGCGCGAACGCGTGCTGGCTCTATTGTTAAACGTTTCCTATTTTGCGAAGTTGAGGATACGCGAAAGGGTTGTCAGGATATTATACAGGGAATTTGAGGTATCTTCTCGTGCTTTTTGTAACAGGGAAAAGTGTCGTAAGGAAACATCGATTCGGTGGGAAGCATGCTACAGTCGGTGTAACAAGTATTCGTACCAGGAACCAGTTCGAAATAAAACTTCATGTATTTAGTTTATTAATAAGTTTTAGGGAAAGAAATGATTAACCGACATTTATCTATATATTTTTGGAGCAGATTTTGCGTAAATTAAAGTCTGTTAGTTTTAATGTTAACCTTTTATTTCTTTTATTTATTTAATTTTTATTTGATATTGGTTTCTGGACGAATACTTTTTACACTGACTGTATGATAGACAAATTATCCCGAGATCACTGTGTCCGAGATTTTGAGGTTATTAGTCTTTATTTGAAATGTAATGGGGTATTTTTATTATTGCATTCTTGCAACTGATAAAAAGACCTTTGGATAACCTCGTGGGAAGTTACTCTGATTTTAAAGTTATTTTTATAAAACCATACTCCAATAATATAGACAATCGAATGTGCATTGTTATGACGTGCAAAACTTTGATACAGTCGGTGAAATAAGGATTCGTATAGGAATCATTTATTATTAATTTTTTTTATTTTAATTGGTTGATGTACGAATACTTCTTACACTGATTGTAATATCAATTGGGGTATTATTGGAGCACGCTGGCAATGACAGTAATCTAGTGTAACTTCGCTCAGCGTAACGAACCTTCAGATTGCAAAATGACGAATGACTTTACAGTTCCTTTTTGTACGAGCAACTTTTCGAAATTTCTTTTAAACAAAAATTTGCCGATCCACCGACAATGTCAAAGATAGAACGACTCGAACGTTCATAACCTATTATACAGGATGTCCCAAAAATGTTGTAACACCTTGAAAGAGGTGATTCGGGAGGTGATTTGAAACAACTTTTTCCTTGGCGAAAATGTTGTCCGAGGCTTCGTTGAGGAGATATTAAGCGAAAACCCCGACCAATCAGAGCGCGAGTATGCCAGTTGAGCGACGTGGTAGCGAAAGCTACGCGCTAAGCGGTCGCGCTCATACGCTACCGCGGCCGCTCCAACGGTATCCGCGCGCTCTGATTGGTTAGTGTTTTCGCTTAATATCTCCTCAACGAAGCCTCAGACAACATTTTCGCTAAGGAAAAAGTTGTTTCAAATCACCTCCCGAACCACCCCTTTCAAGGTACTACAACATTTTTGGGACACGCTGTATTTTTACCTAAATTTCAACGTGTCACGTTTAGCGTACGTCAGACGTATCGCGTATTCGATTGATCACGACGCGCATTAAAATATGAAAGAAGGGATCGATGGAAGGTCCGGCGACACGGGTCATGGAAACGCACGAATCGTCGATAAAACTATTTTATTTATGACATTCACATCCATTAGAAAGTCACAGCCTCGTCGAACATACTTACGATAAAATATATCGAGACGCATCCATTATACATCTATGTACAATCCGCACTCATATACACTTATATACATTCTCTTTTTTATTTACATACCAAGTCTCCGATGTGATCGAAATTATAATCACCGGGCGTGTCTCGCTGACGAGGACAGATCTGCGGAAAATATACAAAAATTTTCGTCGCGTAGCGCGGCGAGACGCTCTTTGAGCAAAAGTGCAAACAAGACGCCGGTATAGAAAAAGTATTTTATTGCGTAGAGTCTTTCGTTTCTTGATACCTGTTACCGTTACTACTCTAACATCGATTGTGCCGTTGTAATAGGAAATCAGAGACGGACATCGTTCGCGCACGATAATCATTTAAATATAAATTAGAGCAAGGGTACTTCTAGTGTACTAGATTTTCGTTAACTGACAAATAATAGATACAAACTTTTCTGTCCCTTCGTCCATCTCTGTTCGAATGAAACGCATGCTACGATTTTCAATGTACGCGGAACGATCACGTCAACCATTTGTTTCACCGTGAAAGTTTGACGATATGTTTGTCTCGTTTCTCTGAAAAATGTTGAAAAGAGGAAACGAGACAAACTTATCGGCAAACTTCAGGTTTATTCGAAACCTAGGGTTTTGCCCATCACTGGTTTCACGAACTAACGAGAGATTGTAACACCCACGCATGAAGACTGTACAAGGAGTCCTAACTGTGTAGTGTACAAGTGTTATCGAAATCCCGAGCTTGAAGTTATGAATATTTCTACCACTTGCGCCGCGAGTGGACGAAATATCCATAACTTCAAGTTCGGGATTTTGATAACAGTTTTCTAGTAACTTTCTTAGGGAGTTGGATCTCCTTATACAGTCTTCATGCACCCACGATTACCGATACCCCAACAATTTTTCGGCCTCGCTGTTCTAAAATCCCTAGATATCGACGATGAAAACCGATATTCGAGACTAACCTACGCCGCCTATCACACCAATAACGTTCGAAAGTCTCATCGTTGGACGTGCTACGGTTCGTTAACTATCGACGAGTAACAACCCCCAAAAAGGCGAGACATTTATAGTCAGTGTAAGAAGTATTCGTACAGGAACCAATTCAAAATAAAACTAGATATATTTATTTTATTAATAAATTTTATGGGAAGAAATAATTAACCAACGTTCCTACATACTTTTAGAGTAGAATTTGCGTCCATTAGAGTTTATTATTTTTAATGTTAACCTCTTATGTATTTCTTTTCTTATTAATTTTATTTTAAATCGAGTGCTGGTACGAATACTTCTTACGCTGACCGTATTTTCGTAAAGTAGCGACAGTGTATCATCCCTTATATATATGTATATATACAAAGTGAAAACGTCTCAACCATCTAGAGACACAGTGCCAAATTCACTGGTTCTTCGGTGTCACCATTTTCCTTCGATTTTCTTGCATTTCCTTTAACACGTCCGCGCCGATGTGTCCCTCAAGTGTCTTACAAATACAAGTAATTCGCGTTGATCGCTGCCGTCCAGATAAACAGATGCCTAAGAGCACCTAAATGGTTATGTCCCATCGGGCGGCGTGTACCACCGGTGGTTGGTGGTTCACGCTCGCGTGTATCTGCGCGCCGCCCCGTGGCAAGAAACGCAAACAGCGTCGGCGTGAACGTGTAAATTTCATTTAATCGTCGTCTGTCTTGTATCTCCATGCATTTCTTTCAAATTCCATTACCTTGTAATCTACCTTCCACTTCCCTGATCTACCTTTCATTAGATTTCATTTGATTTGATCTAACTTTAATTTAACTTTGTATACATATATGTATATATATGCATACAGGGTGTCCCAAAAATGTTATAACACCTTGAAAGGGGTGGTTCGGGAAGTGATTTGAAACAACTTTTTCCTTAGCGAAAATGTTGTCTGCAGCTTCGTTGAGGAGATATTAACGGAAAACACTGACCAATCAGAGCGCGAGTATACCGTTGGAGCGGCCGCGGTAGCGAAGGCTACGTGCTACGCGGCCGCACTCATACGCTATCGCTAGAGCTCCATCAGCATACTCGCGCTCTGATTGGTCTGGGAGTGCGGCTACCTAGCGCGTAACCTTTACTGCCATGGCTGCTCCAACGGTATACTCGCGCTCTGATTGGTCGGGGTTTTCGCTTAATATCTCCTCAACGAAGCTGCAGACAACATTTTCGCCAAGGAAACAGTTGTTTCCAATCACTTCCCGAACCACCCCTTTGAAGGTGTTACAACATTTTTGGGACACCCTGTATATATTTTATTGTATCAGAATTCGACGGATAAAACACGACCCTATCTAGTAGACCCGATATAGTTTCGCACGACTACTTTCTTAAGTGACGATCGACAAAGAGAACCCTAGAATTGCACGGTCGATAGATTATATAGGTACTGTTTGTACTACGCGTCGCGTGCGAGAGCTAATCGCTAGGCGAAGAGAAGAAATATCGTTCCGAAGCGACGCGTTTTGTTTCGCCGCGCGAATAAACGGCATACCTATGGACAGACACTTGGTACGATCAAGCTTAAAAAGTAGACGCTAGTACCTGGCTAAAATGAGATCAAAATAAATACTTACGAGCTAATCGTTCACCGGAAGACCGATTGCCATCGAGCAATGTTTCCCTCTTTCGATGTTTACCCGAGTATTTTGCGTTGCGAAAACGAATCATTGCGCGTGATATCTCGAACGACGTTGGATCGAGAAAGCATTACTATCCGAATGTCGTGCAGTTTTTACGGACGCGTTTAAAGGTTAGAGTACTCCCCGCGTACATGCAACTTATCGTTCGCATGTGAATCTTTTTCGTCTGCTCGGTGGATAGAATTGCTTTTGTTAAGAAATATTTATGTCATTGTCATACATTTGCGAGAGTATTACTTATGGATTGATGATGTTCTCACGATGAAAACGAGCCCAAGCATTTTTAATCAAACTTCGAAAGTTGTTCATAAAAACAACACGAATGTGGTCGTGTTTGGACTCGTTTTCCTCGTAAGAATTTCACTAATCCACCGGTAGCATCCTCGTCGAATGCATTGATGTCTATAAAAAAAAGGGGGGAGCACCCAATAGACGCGAACCGTTACATACATATAAGCGGGGAACAAAAGTACTCCGTCGAAAATATTCAAAAACTCAGTCGCACGCGTACACCGATGTGGTCCAATTTTCGTTAAAACACGGTTCGAAAAATAATTGGAATTTATAAATATTCTATGGAACGGATTTCAGAGGATTTCTAAAACGTTACCCTCGCGCGATCTTCGGGCTCCAACCTCGTTCCCGCGTCTCTGTTCGTTAATCACTCGCGCGATCGAACGGACGCTCGGCTCGGGGAAATCTGCATGCGTTAGATTATCATCTCGTTCTCGATGTTCTCGTTCCTCTGATTCTCCTCGTACTCGTCGCAGTAGCAACACGTCGACGAGCAGTCCTCGGAATTCTCCGCGACGTACGTCATGTAAGTGTCGATACTTTTCGTGTCCAGGGACGGCAAGGACCACGACGACAACGACGTCGTCTCGTGGTCCGGTATGGCCGAGTGCCAGGAGGTCAAGTTCCGCGACTTCTTCGCCTTGTGGCTCCTCGTCGACAGCTTCTTGATTGCCTGCGAAACATAAGCAACGGTCTACTATACAGGGTGCCCCAAAAATGTTGTAACACCTTGAAAGGGGTGGTCAGGGACGTGATTTGAAACAACTATACATGTATCTATACAAATATGTATACAGGGTGTCCCAAAAATGTTGTAACACCTTGAAAGGGGTGGTCCGGGACGTGATTTGAAACAACTTTTTCCTTAGCGAAAATGTTGTCCGAGGCTTCGTTAAGGAGATATTAACGGAAAACACTGACCAATCAGAGCGCGAGGATGCCGTTGGAGCGGCCGCGGTAGCGTATGAGCTCTGCCGCCTGTCGCGTAGCCTACGCTCAACCGGCATCCTCGCGCTCTGATTGGTCGGGGTTTCCGCTTAATATCTCCTCAACGAAGCCTCGGACAACATTTTCGCTAAGGAAAAAGTTGTTCCAAATCACCTCCCGAATCACCCCTTTCAAGGTGTTACAACAGTTTTGGAACACCATGTATAGATATTCGATCACTCGTGACACCGGTTTATTAACACGTTCGCGATGCCACTGTTATTTTCGTTTCTCCGTGGGGCGCCATGGGGCGGCGCAATGTTACGCGTCGTATAATGGACACGCGAGCGTGAGCCACCGGTGGTACGCGCCGCCTGACGGAACATAACCTCTTAGACACGGCTGAATACGAAACGAGTTTATCTGCACGGCAGAGATCAACGCGAATTAGGTGTAAATGCAAGTCACTATAGTGACCCGTCGTGCCTAAGAGGATAAGTGTGAATCACCGGTGGTACACGCCGGCGTTGACGTGTTAAATTTTAACTCTGATAGTTTGATAATTCCACTTGCAACTGTTCCTTCAAAACGTAACAACATATTAGGTCTACCGGAAAGTTCTGTCCTTGTTCCGTTTACAACAAGTTTCTAACAAGTATGCGAATATTCATTAAAAACGACATAAAAATTGAAACCATGTCGGCAAGATGACGTAAACAATGATAAAAATTATATTATTCAACAAAATTTATTCAAGGTATGAGAAATTTATTATTTTGTGTTATTTTAGAAACGGACAGAATTTTCCGGTGGACCTAATATTTATTTATTAATCTGATGCGTTGAAGTACAAATCTTGTAAATCGTCAACCTGATCTCTATTGCGATGTATCTACAGTCAGTGTAGTAAGTATTCGTACGGGAACCAATTCAAAATAAAACTGGATATATTTATTTTATCAATAAATTTTAGAGGAAAAATTAATTAACCAAACGTAAATTAAAGTTTATCATTTTTAATGTTAGCCTTTTATTTCTTGTCTTACTAATTTTATTTCAAATTGGTTGCTGTACGAATACTTCTTACACCGACTGTATACGAACTTTAATAGCCACGAAAGTTTCCTTATTATTGTACTCTTAGAAGCATTGTAATTATCAAGTACTCCCGTAATCGGTTAGAAAGACACAAGCAGAATTTGTTGGCGAGCGAACTTGGAACGAACTTCGAACATGCATAGATATATTATATATAACGGTCGCGGTCAGCTCGAAAGGTTAAGAACCACTGCCCTAAGGTAACAGATCGACGCGTACACGTTTCTGCGAGGCGAGTAGTTGAGCGAATCAATGTTAAGCGAGGTCACGCCGATTAAAATTACCCGGTCGTGAATGTTTGATCCAATTTACAGAAACAGGGGGAACGAGTCGTGCTCTATAGCAAAGATAGCCCCTCGAATTCTCCTGCTCCAAACATTCACCCATGACTTTTTGTAAATTAAACTCGAAGCTACCAATCATCCGCGATAGGTGAACCGATTCACCTGGTATAAAATCTCGATCGAAATAAGCGAAATAAACAAAATAAGCTTTGTGCAAAAATTCAGAATCGTCTAATCTCGATATCATCCAGTGTCGATTCCAACCCCCTTTAGTAGATACACCACACACGGTCGCAACCCTCCCCTCCTAATTGTTTGGCAAGACCAAGGTGGCTCGTCCAACTGTTCCATCGCTCGAGCCAGGGATGGGCGAAATTTTGTACCAGTAATAGACCACGAATAAAAATACCATGCACCGTATTATTCACTTAAAATATTCGTTGATTCGGATAAATTGGAGCGTGGATGTTAGGCATTTATGGCGTGCAATAGTATGGAAAACACATAAACATACGTTTCGTAAATGAAATTATTAATATGAATCATTTATTCGATAACAAGCCAAGTACAATAGCTACAATCTCTCAAAAATGCACAAGCTAGAAAATTATCCATCATCCATCCTTTTATATTCGATATTTGCATCTAGCCAAGTATTTCGCCCATCTGCAAACACACACGCAAACACACACCGCGATCTATTACTCCATAAACCGAATCATACATCGAACGATTTCACCAAACGCAACGATTCCGCGTGAACTAGCAAATCACAGGGACCGGCTGTTTGGCCAGGTTGCGATTCTGCGAGGGTTCAGGAATTGGGTCGACGATGCGCCAAAAGCGTGCGTGCAACAGTCGACGGTGGAATAATTGCCGTCGTCTTACCCTCAGCAATCTGCGGCCCGACTTGCTCAGCAATTTCCTCAACATATCGCCAAGGAACTTGGACGGTTTTACGACGTTCGGAATCACCGATGCGAGAGCTGGCTCTCGACTGCCAAGAAAATTCAACGCGGTGACGGGATTGATTTTCGTTCGGGGGCGCGAATGCTCGCCGTGTGTGTACCGCTCGGATCGATGCGCACGGCTCGGCGTCACGCGACGAAATACCGCTCCGTGCCGCCGCGCTGGCCTATTTATCACCTCGCCTGGCCCGGAGTCCTTATCGTACCATGCCGTGCGATCTTCCCTTCCCCTGCTCCCAGCTGTCGCGTGCTACTTCCGAGTCGGAACGCGGTCGCATATAGTGCGCCTCCTAAATGGCCTGTGGAGGGGAGAGCGAGGGGAGGGGACCCCCATCGACCGCGGTAATTTTTTCTTTGAGGGGGAACACCGCTGCGAAGGGCTGAGAGATTGCCAATTTTTGTAATTCTGTTCTTTTGATTAATTAATACCGCGTGTACCTGACTCGGATAGAGTCCGAGCTTCTTCGGTCGTGAAAGGCGCGGAATCGAAGGCTTCTTAGGGCCAGGTTACACCAATAAAACGTGTTTTTTTAAATAAATTTTGTTTATGGTAAAAAAAATATTTCAGAATCGAACTTTTTACAGCAGAAAGTACATATATTAAACTATTTGAAAAAAAAATTTGTTTTCTTCTTCTTTTTTTAAATGGCGGCTCTGAAAATGGCTGCTCATAACTCGTCCAATTTGTTGGCGGGTATCATCGTTTCTTGGAAACGAATCATCTGAAAGCAAAAACGATTTCATATTCTGCATCGAATTGGCTATGGTCGGTACTACGACTTTGGAATTTTTCGGCCCTTTTTTTGCGCTTTTAATTGTTTATAACTTTTTTAAATAACAATGAATATTTTTGGTTGTAGTACCGACCATAGCCAATTCGATACAGAATATGAAACCGTTTTACTTTTTGCTTTCAGATGATTCGTTTCCAAGAAACGATGATACCCGCCAACAAATTGGACGAGTCTGAGCAGCCATTTTCAGAGCCGCCATTTAAAAAAAAAAAAGAAAAAAAAATGTTTTTTTTTTTTCAAATAGTTTAATATATGTACTTTCAGCTGTAAAAAGTTTGATACTGAAATATTTTTGTTACTATAAACAAAATTTATTTAAAAAAAAAAACGTTTTATTGGTGTAACCTGGCCTTAAAGAGTTAAGAGGTTCGTTTAGGAGGTTCAATTTGCGTAAATACGAGAGCAAGATATGCGAGTCGATTCGAGCAAACACGTGTTAAGGTGAGGTCCCATGTATGTAAATGCTCGTGCTCGAGCAATAAGTTATCCGTGCTCGCCGGATTTTGTTCGAAAATACGTTCCTACTAGCGAGCAAATGGTCGCTGAATACGACGACAAACGGTTTGGAACCACTCGAAAGGGTTGATTTTTACGAGCGTTTGGGTCTCGGCCCATGGTCTAGGTTCGCGAGCATGGGAACTATTCCACGCGAGCCTGGATCGAACGCCTAAAAAAATCGACCCTTTCGAGTGGTTCGAAGCGAGAGCCCCAATACTTGTTTTCACCGAGACCATAGACGCCTACCTGGGTTCGCTCATGTGTCTGGGGTCAAACGGGCGATCGACTCATCAGTTCTTGATAAAATCGAATTCTTTATTCTTCATCGTGTCAACGTGAACGCGATGCCATTGGATTCTTGGTGTTCTCCCGATTAAACTGATATCTCACGTCGCGTAAATCGAACTATTTTTAACGAAATAACTTTTCAATTATGCAATCAGATTTTGCATATAATTTCGTTAAAAATAGTCCGATTAACGCGATGTGAGATATCATTTTGATCGTAGAAGCATCAGGAATCGATTGAAGTTACTTCCGCAAAGTTTCGAGAAAAATTGTCGAGGTTGGTATTTTCAATTCTTTATGACATTCCCTTGTCGGCCGCCCGTTGCGATGCTGGTGCCTGGCCTTTTTCGGAATTCCGTGCTCGTTTAGATGTTCGCGGCTCGTTGTGCCAGCTCGCGTGGGTCCATCGGACCCTCCTGCGCGACGAGTCGACACTTTCAAGCGGACGTTGCTCGTGCTCGCCGCCCGAACTTACATACATGCGACCTCACCTTTAGAAATTCCGACACAGCTCGCCTAAATATCGGCGTGACGAGAGATGAGGCGTCGCGTAGGCGAGCGGACTTGAAGAGCCTTCATTGACAAGGCTACGCAGACACTTTCCCAGGCCGGGAAAGTCACTTCTTGGCCAGCAATCGTCGTGAACAGAACTCGTCGAAATAAAATATCATTGCTAAAGAATACTCGGGGTTTTATACTTGCATTTATTTACTCGTCTTACACACGATCGCGCTGATCGTTTCTCCCACCGGGAGTACGAGGGTGGAAGATCGAATCGTGTTAATGCGCGAATGATCGAATGATAAATGATATGAAATGAATGATATCGAATGATAAAAATTCTGATTGCACATCGTCTATTATTCTACTTGATTATGAATGAAAACAACTGTATATTCACGTTTAAACGCACTCTTTAACTCATTTGCGTCACGCGGAAAAACTCGTTCTTATCGCTAATATTATTCGATCGCCAAGTAAATTGCGCATATATATGCAATTGGGTAACGCAATGGTGCGTTTATACGTAATTATTGTACTTTTCATTCGAATCTTTGGTTTCCGAGGATAGGTCTGTAACGCAGGGTAAGTGGTAACGCGATAGAGCGGACAAAGGGGTTGAAGGAAGCGGGCATTTACGGTGGAAGCGTTGGCTTAACGAAGAAGAGTGCTCTTCTGAATCGAATAGCGGGTATTGGTGTTTCCCCGGGCGCGCGGCTCGAATGTTATGACAATTATGAGCTTTCCGTGGCCGAATGGAGACGGCACGTGGCGACACGCACGCATCGAGGGGAGATGCAGCCAGGGCCGCGTGCCGTCGCGTGAGAACAGCTTCGCTCACACGCGTTACATCGCGCACGTGCGTCTCACGGTTTCGCCGTGCGTGAGCGTACGCGCATGCGCGCCGCGGACACGCGCCCGACGCGATCCGATTTTTCAATGAACGCGAGCTAATTCTTTGCCCTTTGAATTATAATTCCCTCCGTTTATTGTAATAAAAAGGAATTGGAATAATAATACGTATAATCTCTGAATGTCTAATCTAAGAAGGTTTTACTGTATCAAGTTAGTTAAAAGTTCTTGTGTATCGCTAAACAAATGGTACTGTTCGTCGAAAGGGATCTCGTGAGGTCGTAAAGTCGGTCGGACATCGATCTTTACAACTTAAGTCGACCGCAATTAGTAATCTGACACCTTTTTAGACAACGACAGAGCTAGACTTTTCGTTCAGGGCCGTATGATATCAGAATTAGAATGTTCATATTTCAAGAACTTTCTTCTTCTTATGTACGTTCGCACATAATTCTGTAATGCGTGAATTTCGTTTATTAATTCGCTATTTCGTTTCGGCATGTATACTTTAGAGCCGCGACACCCCTGTCGCGTCCTACGGATCAGTTACCTGGCTCAATAAAGCAATAACTACTGTTTCGGTTTACGACCTCACAAGATCCCTTCCAGCGACTATAATAAGAGCTCGATCGGATATAAGAACGCCGCGTTGGCGACGTTTACTTGGCCAAGTACTGTTCCTGACGTCACAAGTGGAATCGTACCGCTGACGTCATCCGTGCGAATACGTCTTAACAGAGAGGAGGATCGCCTATTGCGTTTCGATCGTTTAAGGGGACGGTCAGGGTCGTGCTCTCGCTTTTGGGACCACACTATATAGAAATTGTAATACACATGTAGTATAACAAAACTCTAATGGGGTTTTTTTTCAGAATGGGCCATGGTTTTCGAGATATTTTAATTTAAAGTTTGATACGCATCTAGTAATTCAATTCTGTGACATTGTATTTTAAGAGTGGTCGGTGGGTGAAACGGTAGAGTATATACGAACCTGTTAAGCCGCGAGCCTGGGGTTCAAATCTTCGTAGTTGTGATAGATTTTTGTTTTCCTCTTTTTCCATTGTTTAATAATTTTTCATCATAGAATAACATTTCTGATGGTTTATGTATTTTTGTTGGTATATATGTCGCATCTTTTTCGCATTACAAAGATCAGAATATATTACGTTATAAATACACGTTTTAGAATAATGCGCACAAAAAATATGCAACATATGTACAAAAGAAAAACAAAAAAAAATACATAAAGCATCAGAAACGTTATTCTACGATTAAAAGTTAGTAAACAACGGAAAAAGAGGAAAAAAAATTTATCACACCTACGAAGACTCGAACACGGGCCGGGCGCGTGACAAGATTGTACTCAACCTGTTTTAACACGTTGATGCCACATGTGGGTGACAGTGTTTTCCATTGAAGAACTAACAAAATTAATTTCGAATGTCAAGCATCAAAGGAAATGAATTTAAAGCAAATTCATGAATTTTGATGAAACTACAAGAATAAATACGTCGATAAATGTTTGATTATGCAGTCTCAAATAGTTTAAATAATATTTCATTTTAGTAGAAACTTTAAAGAATATTTGTCTGGCAGTCAACGTGTTAAAAAAGGAGTGGAACAACGAAACAGTCGATCGAAACGTTACAAACGCGTGGAATAACTTTGGTAACAAATAATCTTGTTTACAAACTGGAACGCGACGGTGACGACAATAACCAGAAAATAGAAACCGGAAATTAAACATCCCAACGATGATTATTGACACAACAATGCGTGACGCATTCTCTGCAGATGTGCACGCTTCGTAGATCCCCGACTTATCGTTTCTCGATGTTCGTTTACTCGAGCAAGCCCAACGTAGCTAAATCAGCCCGGCACGTGTCGCGAGTAGAATATTTCACCCGTGTTTAACCCCGAATGCTTTCTTTCAGTTCACGATCTACACGACCCAAAAGGAAACTTGAACTGTTAAACATTAATTTTTAATCGTAACACGCGTTTTCCATAGATCAATTACGTTTTAAAAATAAAAATAATTCACGACAAATAATCAAGCGTTTTAGCGTAACCGAACCGTTCGTAACAAGGATTAACTATTTTTAAGAAAACTCTTGTGTTAAAAGAAGAGAGGCAAGTAGTCTCAGAAAGTAAATGGACAGTGGAGCAGTGCGTAGCGTAACCGGCTACCACGCAGAGAGCCTGGAGTTCGAATCCTGGCCAGTTCACCCCAATTTTTCATACCACGAATAAGTATAAAATATCGAAATCCTGTGTCTTAAAAAGTATGAAATGGAAAAATAATGACAAAGATATTTCGTGTAAAGAAAATGTATATACGATAAATCAAAAATGGAGGGTCAAAAATAAGCAAAATCGTCGTCGCGTAATTAATGAGTAACCCCTAAGAGAGAGCAAACCGCGTATCGAAGGAACAAGTCCCGGAAACAAAGAACGCTATTTCGAGGTTAGGTTCGTTCACAGCGAGGCTGGCGAAACCTAATCATTTTTAGGGGAAACAATTGCCGATGGCGATGGAATAACGAGCGACGCGTGCCGCGTCACGTGTCCACGAATGTCCGCTCAAACATTACGTACGGAGGGGGTGGGGGCGCAAGAATAAGGCTCGCCTAATTGCGACGGCCGTTCCATTAGAGATTAAACTTCAAACGAGACTCGGTCAAATTCGTTCGGTTAATTAACGTGGCTCACCGAACTGTAACTTTCCGGCTCGAGTTTCGTTGGTCGATAAAAAGATATACTTCCACGATTGAGCCACTTTGATACTTGCTACAGCGAGAAATGATGCGCTTCCTCTGCGAATTCATAACGAGGGCGAAAAACGTAACCAACGGATATTTCAAGTTAGTGCAAGTAATTGATTTCGGTTTTAATATTTGTTATTTGTCCTTTCGTTATTGATTCTATTTCTCTCAATAATTAATGAAAAGTTAAAGAAGCTTTTGCTTTTCAAGAATTTTTCGACCCTTAATTCTTTAATATTTCCCGTGATAGGAAGGTTTAATGTTATAAAGCGATGCATAGAAATGAATATGCGAGTTCGGAACAACGGAGAAGTAGAGAATCTGTTTGCTCGCTCGACAGGGGTCAGAGGTCACGGTAATGGGATCGAAAATCCGGATAACTAATCTCGATCAGCTCTTTTCACCGTCACGTATTGCGCAAGTCCCGTTGGGTTGCGTCAATTTAACGTCAAACTCCTCGCAAATATTTGTAAAACCGTAATCGTGATCTCCATCACGCGCCGAATTGTCTGTGAACGGAAATGGATTTGAAACATTTATTTGCTGGATACTCCGATATTCTTCGACACCACTTCTTCCTTACATCTTCCAAACCAGGGAAATGTTATCGTGGGCAACGACCGAGCAGAAACCTGTGAATGTGTCGCATTTCCATTGTTGGATCGAACTCACCTGCAACCGAGCACATATTCGCAACGCTACGCGCAAGCGTGATATAAGGAAAACAAGGCAGTAAAGGCAGTAATAGTAGAGATAACCCCAACATGCGCATACATACTATTTTTGACGTCAGTAAATTAGCCAACACAATAAAGAATAATATATAGCGATATAAAACATATTAGAAGTGATTATTTCAAATGCTTATGTTAATACATGTGACACATAATACCGCATGACACCTTCTGGCACCTCCTAACATCCTCTAGACCTACACTCTCTAATATCTCCCAATACCCTCTAACACCTCCAAACATCCTGTAATATCTCTTAACAACTGCTAACGACACCAGACAATTCCCTTCATTCCTAATCCTTTCCTAGCAGATTTCCTTTTAATTTTCCCCCTTTCCGTGGTATCTCTCCACACAGTTCATATGATCCACTTTGATGCATCTTAAATAAAGTTTGGCCCAGTAGCAACATTGTAGGGCCATTAGCGATACGATTCCGATTGTCATTAATTAATAATCAATGATTTTTCGATGAGATAACCTACGCGAAATTGTTTATGAGAAGTGACAGATACCCTTCGTGCGAGTGCGAGACAGAACGAAACATGTGCGACAGGGATAGCAACTGTGGTGGGGCCATCTACTAACAGAACGCTCAAGCTTGTCGAAAAATAGTTCCATCATTTCGCCGCTAGATGGCGCCAACCTTTTACCATACGTTTACATGTAAATTAATTCATTAATTTATTTTATTCAACAATGAATGTTAACGAGAATGCTCATGAACCATTACAAAATTGACCCGTAATAGGAATTTTCGGTTTTTATTACGTTTTTGAGAATTTAAGTAGCAGGCGCCATCTCGCGGTGAAACGGTGAAACTATCCCACGACAAAGCTTTAGCGTTCTGTTAGTAGATGGCGCCACCACAATTGCTATCCTTGTCGCACATGTTCCGTTCTCTCTCTTTCGCTCACGCTCTCTCTATCCTTGTCTTTCATGTTTCTTTCTCTCTCTTTCCCTCAAGCTCGCTGTATCCTTGTCTTATATATACCTTTCTCTCTCTTTCCCTGAGCACACTCAATCCTTCTCTTTCATGTTTCTTTTTCTCTCTCTTTCACTGAACTCAATCTATCCTTTTCTTACATATTCCTTTCCCTCTCTTGCACACGCACTCGAGCTTCGGGTGTTTGGCCGCGAGATGGCGAGTCGGTCGCCGGTCACGAATGATAGCTATATGTCATACATGGATTCCAACCATATATCATCAATTTAAAAACAAAATCGATAGATATCCTTATCGCACATATTTCTCTCTCTCTCGCACTCATTGTGTAATCATACTTGAACAACTTCCGACAGTTCCCTTCACTTCTATTCATTTCCTAGCACATTTCCCTTTAATTTCCCTCCTTTCACTGGTACCTTTCTTCTTTGTTAAAGTGATCCTCATATAAAAGGTAAGTTTCAAGCAAAAAATAAAAATTATGATACCAACTCGCACATTACGTTCTCCTGATACAAGAAGTAAGTATCGAGCAGAAAATAAAAATTATGATACCAACTCGCACATTACGTTCTCCTGATACAAGAGGTAAGTATCGAGCAGAAAATAAAAAATATGATACCAACTCGCACATTACGTTCTCCTGATACAAGAGGTAAGTATCGCGCAAAAAATAAAAATTATGATACCAACTCCCACATTACGTTCTCCTGATACAACAGGTAAGTATTGAGCAGAAAATAAAAATTATGATACCTACTCGATCATTACGTTTTCCTGATACAAGAGGTAAGTATCGATATTTAATTAAAAGTTATGCTACTTCTCTGAGTATCATGTTCTCTTGATACTAAAATGTAAAATTTCCTCAAAATTTCGATACGTACCATGTATATCTCGTGCCACCTCTTCGCACATCATGTGCTCCTGATACCAAAATCCCAAATCGGCCAGAATTCCGAAATTTAACAA